TAAGAGTTCAGGGACCTGTCCTTCTGGAGAGAGAAAGGGTAGAGACAAGGGGATACAAGGGGTCTGACTCTTGCTACCACACCCTCCACTATTACTGAGAGCTATTCAGACAGTGCAGCTATGATAGGAAGGGGTGGGGAGTCGGGAGAGAGGATAGCCTTTCCAGCAGCTCCAAAGTGTATTTATCTTCTAGTGACACTAGGTGTCACTATTAGTCTTGGAAGATCTGTGTAGGATCCTGTCAGAGATGGATTTCATCAGAATGTTAGAATTTGGCCTTGCCAGGCAACTCTGGGTTCAATTCCTTCCCAAGAAGAGTCCAAACCAGGGATGTGCTGGTAAATATTTAACAATCAGCTGGGGTGGGGGACAATGTATGCATGACACAGTTTTAAGCTTAATATGCACCATTAACATTTTCTCTATCGTTTTCTTAAGTCCAGACAATCAACAAAACAATAAGGTCCTAATTTATAGTGTTTGTCTATTTCCAAGGAGTGTTAATGCTGAAAATTTAATAATCAGCTCTGTTGAGTTGGTACAATTTGACTCCAGTACGTCCAAGACCTGAGAACCCTACAACTTCAACGGAAAAGGTAGTGTCCACCAGGGAGGGAAGAGAATTGTGCTAAATGCTTTATATATTTTCTATAACTGTTTATGGGCTTGAGCCCATAAATAGCTCTGCATCTTTTGTAGAATGAAATACAAGCTATTCTCTACGCAATATGCATTTGTTAACCTGCATGCTTGTATAGGAACTGAGTACCCTATTATTCACATTTATAGAAATTCAGGCACATGCTCTGTACATGAGCTATATTTAAAGATTTTCCAGAGTAGACTTTGAATAGGGGCACTAAAGAGTTAAAAGGGAGATACCCATCTCTCCCAAGATCAGAGTTGGTCCAAGTGAGCTTGGTGGGAGAGGGGGGAGGGAGTATCGTAAACCATGAGTTATGGTGGAAAAAACCAAAAACTTTACTCCTGCCATCAAATAATGACAATGCAATTCAGAAAGGGAGTTCCACCATGGGGGCATGGTTTGATTTAGGAAATAATTATCCTGAAAGATAAAATGGATACAGAAGATAGGTAATTAAAGCGTTAAGACATTAAAATGCATGGTTGTGACTCCAAATTGTGAACCGTGTTATGCTTCATTTAGTATAATATAAAAACTGCCCGGGGAACGTTACATCTGCTCCGTACTACAAGGCTGGTGACTCCTTTAGTCAACATGTCATTAATTTCAGCTGATTTCACCTCTAAAAAATGCTCTAATGCTGAAATAAACAAGCTTTTTAAAGTGGAGTGAGGTGAGATCCCCTGCTTTTTCCAAGGTATGTTTCTAGAGCTACTACAAATTTTACATTTACAAGAGTTGATAAAGCTATTCCTCTTGGGGCAGCTAGGTGGCGCAGTGGATAGAGCTCTGGCGTTGGAGTCAGGAGGACCTGAATTCAAATGCGACCTCAGATGCATAACACTTACTAGCTGTGTGACCCTGGGCAAGTCACTTAACCCCATTGCCTCATCAAAAAAGGTTTTTTTTAAAATTAAAGATATTCCTCCTGAAGGTACAAGAAGGGAGGTAAAGGAAATTGGTGGAAGGCATTTTTCTTTCTCTGCTCCTGAAGCACGGCCTTGGTTTTTCTCATTGTTTCATTTCTCCATTTTCTTCAGTCACATTGCCTTTGTTCTCCACTTGGTCACTTTTCTTTCTTTCTTTCTTTCCTTCTTTCTTTCTTTCTTTCTTTCTTTCTTTCTTCTTCTTTCTTTCTTTCTTTTCTTTCTTTCTTTCTTTCTTTCTTTCTTTCTTTCTTTCTTTCTTTCTTTCTTTCTTCCTTTCCTTTTGCTGGGCCCATAGTTTTCTCCCTAACTGCTGCCTTTCTTTGGTTTAGGGTCACTTTTTCTTTTTTTTTTTTTTGTGAAGCAATCAGGGTTAAGTGACTTGTCCAGGGTCACACAGCTAGTAAGTGTCAAGTGTCTGAAGCTGGATTTGAACTCAGATCCTCCTGACTCCAAGGCCAGAGCTCTATCTATTGTGCCACCTAGCTGCCCCTTAGGGTCAGCTTTTGCAGAGGCTCAGACCGCCCTTCCATTTGGTTCTTCCCTTATTTCCTCTTGGGTAGAATGGACCTAGGGGGCAGCTGGGTGGCACAGTGGATAGAGTGCCAGGCTTAGGGTCAGAAAGACTCGTCTTCCTGAGTTCAGATCTGGCCTCAGACACTCACTAGCTGTGTGGCCCTGGGCAAGCCACTTAACCCTGTTGGCTTCCATTTCCTCATCTGTCAAATGAGTTAGAGAAGGAAATGGCAAACCACTCCAGTATCTTTACCAAGAGAACCCCAAATGGGATCACAAAGAACTGACTTTACTTTTTTGAACTGAGCTGAGAGTTCGGGTTAACTTCCACCTGAGGGGCCTTTGAGGTTTGGGGTGGAGGACTACAGGAACAGAGTAGGAGAAACAGTACCTATTGGAGGCTGTGGCAAACTCCTTTTCTGAAGTCCTGCCTGTTCCTCCCTTCTCCTCCTTCCCACTGTCTGTGCTTTTGGTCTCTTGAGGGGTAGGGAGTGGGGGAGGAGGGGCAGAAGAATTTGAACAAATAACTTCCATCTCTACCTCCAGGCATTTGCACAAGCACCTCCCACACCTGCCAGGAATGAAGGTCTTGTCTCTCCTCTCAGAATCTGTATCTTTTTTCAAAGCTCAGCTCAGCTGTCACCTCCTCTGTTTTACAGTTATTAGTGTTTTCTGCATCCTCAAATAATTTTAATGTATTTATTGTATATTATTTATTAATCCATATTTATGTATTACATAATTTTAATTTAATTTTATTTATCATGTAATTTTTTGGTAATTCTGCAGCACTTTGCCGCTTGGCAATACAACATATGCCTGAATTTCTATGAATGTGGATGATGGGGTACTCAGTTCCTATACAAGCACACAAGGTAACAAATGCATAATCACGTATTTATTAATCTGAGGGCTGCATGTCTCTTCCTCTTCTCTGCCAGCAAGATGTAAGATCCTTGAGAGCAGGGATTGCTTTATTTTTTAGTAATTCTGCAGCAGTTTGCGCCTTGGACTTGGAGTCAGGAAGACCTAGAATTGAATCATTATCCTGCTATTATTCTTTTATAATTAGTGCTCCTTAAACTATTTCATAGGTAGAAAAAAATGACTGCTTTTAAAAATTGAATCAAAGTACTGGGATGTAGGCTGGTCTGAACACACCCTCAGAAAACCTCCAGTGGCAGACAAGGTGAACCTCATCCCATTTCCATCTGTTACTGATTTCCTCCGTCAGTGATGATAGCACATACCTCACAGGGTTGTTGCAGGATGAAATGAGGAAATATATGTAAAGTGTTTCATAGTAGCTATTGAGTTGCTTTTCAGTCATGTCTGACTCTTTGTGACCCCATTTAGGGTTTTCTTGGCAAAGATACTGGAGTGGTTTGCCATTTCCTTCTCTAGCTCATTTTACAGATGAGGAGACTGAGGCAGACAAAGTTAAGTGATTTGCCCAGGGTCACAATGTTAGTGTCTGAGGCCAGATTTGAACTCAGGAAGATGAGTCTTTCCTACCCCAGGCCTGGAGCTCTATCCACTGCACCCCCTGACCCCAGCTGCCCTGAAATGCTTTACAAACCTAACATGCTATGAAATGGTGAACTATTATTTTTAGAATTACTATCTCATTCTCTACTTTTTAAAAAATGGAATTCAGATAGAAATAATTCTGGGACAAGTCATTATCCTGCTATTATTCTTTTATAATTAGTGTTCTTTAAACTATTTCATAGGTAGAAAAAATGACTGCTTTTAAAAATTGAATCAAAGTATTGGGATGTAGGCTGGTCTGAGAACACCCTCAGAAAACCTCCAGTGGCAGACAAGGTGAATGAACTTCATCCCATTTCCGTCTGTTACTGATTTCTTCCGTCAGTTCTCTATATTTTGAAAGCTTTTCATTCAGTGTAGCTTGGAAATTCTGAGTATATAGATGCACTTATTGAAAGCTCTGTTTTCATTCTTCTGTGGAACAATGTTATACCCAAGAGATTATGGGCAACAGCGTAGTTCGTGATGATGCTCCAGTTCCAGTAGAGTCTATTGGTTGGATTCTCAGGAAAGTTTTGAAGTCTGTGTGTATCCCTGTATAAGTACAGGGATTTCTCATTTGTCAATCCATGAAAGACAGTGAGTTCCTGACTGAGCTCCCTCCTGTCCTTCCTGTCTTCTCATGCCTTACTCCCTCACATATACTCTGATCCAGCAACACTGGATTCCCAGCTGTTGCATGAACGAGACACTCCGTCTCTTGGCTCTGGGCATTTTCTCTGGCTGTCCCCCATGCCTGGAAGGCTCTCCCTCCTCGACTCCCACTACTGACCTCCCTGGCTTCCTTCAAGCCCCAACCAAAATCCCACCTTCTACAGGAAGGCTTTCATTCTAGTGCCTTCTCTTTGTTAATTATTTCCTATTTATCCTGTGTAAAGCTTGCTTTATATATATATATATATATATTTGTTTGCATGCTGTCTCCTCCATTAGAGTGTAAGCTCCTTGAGGGCAAGGGACCATCTTTTGCCTCTTTTTGTAACCTCAGCACTTAGCACACTGCCTGGCACATAGTAGGTGCTTAATAAATGTTGATTGATTGATAGATAGATAAAAATTTAGCCACCAGCTCATGTCTTGCCAGGCATTTGACAGATGCTGAAATTTTGTTGTCCCGCCATTTTCTTGCATCATTTACATTGATCAATAAATCTGGGCTCCTTAAGTAGAATCTCTAATTTCTGGTGGTGATACTTCATCCTGAATTGCCTTCACAAACTCCTCTGTTTTTTATAAACCAGTCCCCCATGACTCAGCCCTTTATTTGATGCTTTGGGGCCGTGCAGATGGACGTCACCTGTGGAGGGCATTTGGAGTCCAGTCTTTTGCCTCAGTCACTTCACAGGCTCTACCCACTCCCATTCAACAAATCCAGTGGCACGTATACTCCTCTTGTCAGATTTTACCGTTGCTGGTGAAGTGATGGCAGCTTGTTCCAAAAGGCATTTCTGTAAGTTTTAACCCGTTTATTAAGCACTCTGAGTAAACCCATCAATACTCTTCTTCCTTGCACATGAGGAAGTGTTAGTGTTATTGCTGTTCATTTCTTTGCATTCCTAGCCCCTATGCACTCTCTAAATGCTTGTGATACTGAATCCAATTAGAGCTATCCCAGAGAAAATGGAGGCAGCTAGGTGGCACAGTGGATAGAGTACAGGAACTGGAGTTAGAAAGACCTGACTTCAAATGTGACCTCAGATATTTACTAATTGTGTGACCCTGGGAAAGGCACTTAGCCCTGTTTGCCTCAGTTTCCTCATCTGTAAAATAAGCTGGAGAAGGAAATGCAAACCACTCCAGTATCTTTGCCAAGAAATCCCCAGATGGAGTTACAAAGAGTTGGACGCGGCTGAAAAACAACAACAGAGAGAATGGGCTAGAGGTGATGGATTTCCCTTCACTGGTGGTGATTGAGCAAAGGTCAGATGATTGCTTACCAAGCCCTAGGATTCTCATTCAGGTATAGGTTGGAGCAGATGCCTGCAATTTCCCTTCCAGTGCTGAGATTCTGTGATTCTGACAACGAGGCCTGTACTTGGCCGGTGGCAGTGGGAATGATGGATGAGAGGGATCATGGGATTTAGAGAAGGAAAGGACCTTAGAGGCTACTGAATGTAACCTCTCCACTATATAGATGAGAAAACAAGTTTGAGAGAGGCTAAGGAACCTGCCTGGGGTCACTCAGCTAGGAAGCATCCAAGACCGGGCTGAAACTCAGGTCTTCCTAACTCCAGAGCCAGGGTCTTACAGTTGTGCCATGGATGTGGACGGGCCTTGGTGAGGGATCGTATATGAGAGGAGAGGGACAGGGAGTAGCAAAGAAACCTCCAAGGTTTCAACTGCAGAGAGAGAGAGAGAGAGAGAGAGAGAGAGAGAGAGAGAGAGAGAGAGAGAGAGAGAGAGAATGAGAGAGGGAAGGAGAGAGAGAGAGAGAGGGAGACAGAGGGAGATCTCTATGGGTCCTTGAGTCTTGCCTCTAGGAACTCCCTGAAGACAAAGTTAGACTCGACTCTGTCTCCATTTTCCAACAACATGGCTTTATTGTTGTTGTTCAGTCACGTCTAACTCTTTGTGACCCCATTTGGGTTCTTCTTGGCTCATTTTACAGATGAGGAAACTGAGGCAAACAGGGTTAAGTGACTTGCTAAGGGTCACATAGCTGGTAAGTATCTGAGGTTGGATTTGAACTCAGGTTCTCCTGACTCCAGGGCTAGCACGCTATCTACTGTGCCACATAGCTGCCCTTAAGTAAGAATCTGATTGAATGGGGTGGTGACAATTTGGCCCACTGACTACCTGTTTCCTAGAACAGTTCTCGAAGTATGGCCCAGGGACCACTGGCGGTCCTCCAGACCCTTTCAGAAGGTCAAAACTGTTTTCATAATAAGACAAAAACATTTTCATTTCTAATACAGTAAGCATCAGTAGATATACCCCCCCACACACACAAAAACTCTTTGTGTGGTGTCCTCAGTAATTTTTTTTTGGTTAGACAATGGGGTTAAGTGACTTGCCCAGTGTCACACAGCTAGTAAGCTCAATAATTTTTTTTAAGCTCAATAATTTTTAAGAGTATAAAGGGGCCCTGAGACCAAAAAGTTGTCCTAAAGGGAACCTGGGGGTAATTGTCTTCATTCTGAAGATGGAGGAAACTGAGGCACACCGAGGTGTCTAGAGTCCTAAGTGAGACTGGATGGGGCCAGGCTCCAAAGTTAGCTCTCCCAGTGTCTGACTCTGGTCTTCCCCTCTCCTTCGCCCAGTGAAAACTCTAGTCCTGTGACCATGGGAAATAGATAACTAATTTTGAGCTCCTTGTGGGCCTTGGCCTTGAGTGGCGATCTCTGGGAAGGTAGGATAAAGAAGAACAAGGCCCTGCTTGCCCTTAGGGGGTTTCTAGTCTGAAGGGGCAAACTCAGGTGCTGCCTCTAGGAGTTTCCAAGCAAGAAAGCCCTTGTTAAGGACCTACTATGTCTCGGGTTAAGCACTATACAAGGTGGACACCTGACTAGGAGACCAGAAATGAACAGTGTAAGCCTCTGGAGACTTGGTTGTGGGACTGTGTGAGGCCGGCAGTGGGTGCCGGAGGAGCCCGGAGAAGGAAAAGATTAATAAGGCAGCCCAAGGAGACCCCTGGGTGGGGAGCCAGGGTCCAGCCAAAGCCCTGTGATTACTGTCTGTGTGGCTCTGGGCGAGTCAGTTCCCTTGTTGTGACCCTTTGTGTGCTCATCTATAAAATGAAGGGGTTGGACCGTATGGCTTCCAAGGTCTCTCCTAGACCTAAGTCCTAGATCTATGATCAAAACCCGTCCACACCCAACCTCTCAGATTCATGTTACAGAACATCCTAACCAGAGAGACCTTAGCGATCATCTCGGCCTATCTGCTCATTTCATAGACAGGGAAACTGAGGCCCAGGGAGGGTCAGTGATTCCTCAGGATTCCACGGCTTGTCAGCAGCAGCACCAGGACTCAAAGGAGAGAAAAAAAGAGAAGATGCTCATGGTCCTTGTGCGTGGGAGCCATGGTAAGCAAATGGTAACGAGAGGCAATCTTGAGAAAAGCAGAAGAAACGGAATATGCTAAATGTATTCTTGTCATAGGAAAGAGCCCTGGACTGGGAGTCAGCTAGACCTGAATTGGAATACTGCCTCAGATACTTAACTAGCTGGGTAGCTCTGTGCCTAGCACACAATAAGCATTTATTAAATGGTCCATCCATCCATTTGTCTATCTATCTGTCTGTCTGTCTGTCTGTCTGTCTTTCTGTCTCTGTCCATATGTCTGTCCATTCATCTATTTATCTGTTTATCTGTCTGTCCATCTGTCCATCCATCTGTCTGTCCATTCGTTATCTATCTCTCTTGTCTGTCTGTCTTTGTGTGACCCAAGCCAAGTCATTTAGCTTCTCTCAGCTTCAGTCTCTTTATCTGTAAAATGGGGACAATAATGGTACCTATCTAGGTTGTTATGAGGCTCAAATAAAATAACACATTTGAATCTTAAAGCACTCTATTAGTTAATCATGGTGATTAGTTAATCATAGCTGCCTTGGGCCTCAGTTTCTCCATAAAATGAAAGTGTTAGATACAATGGCCAGGGCTGCTGCCTCCTGTTTAGGGCCTTTTTCTGCCTTCTCAGACTGTCTCATGGAGCCCTCCCACCTCCCTTCAGGGCCCCGGTAGCAGCAGGGTTCTGAGCAGAGGAAGCTCTGGCTTGCCTAGGGAGAATTCCTCATGGAGCTGAGCTGAGCTGACCTGGCTCGTCACCCTGGGTGAGTGACTCCATCAGGGATGGAAAGCAGCCTCCAGAATGTCCCATGACGGACCTTCCCTTCCACCCTGCCTTGTCCCTTCCTCCTGCCTGGCTGCTGCCTTATGGCTGCCAGCCCGCCAGGCTGTCTGGACTCTCCCGCATTCAGTCTGTACCCTGTATACCAAGGTGTTCCTGCTGCTGGTGGCTGACTCATCCTGCAGGGAAATTAGAGACTGGCCTGGGGGTGGGGGAGAGGAAGCAGAGAGAGACCAGAAAGTGGAGCTAATTATATTCTGTCAGGGAGCTCATCTACACCAGACTGACTGACTGCCTTGTCAGGCTGGGGAGGTTGCGGGAGGCTTGGGCACACCCAGAGAATGGTGGCTGTTCCAGACACCCCCCCCCCCCCCCCCCCGCCCAAGACCTTCAGCACTGCTGGGGAGCCAGTCCTCTTGTGCGAAACCCTTCATGGCATCAATGATGATACACAGAGGGTAGAGTGCTAGGCTTGGAGTTAGGAAAATCTGGGTTCAAATCCTACCTCTGATACTTGTTGGCTATATGACCCTGGGCAAGCTAGCTCTCTGACTCAGTTTCCTTATCTGTAAAATGGGATAGTAATACCTGTAGCACCTATCTGGCAGGCTTACTGTGAGGTTCACATGAAACAATGGATAGAAAGTGCTTTATTAACTTTAAAGGGCCATATAAATGTCAGCAGTGGTCATGATAATGATGATAACAGTCTCCATTCTCCAGCTTTTTATTGCTAACAAAATACTCTCCTTATAACAGCCCAGGGGGCAGGCAGTGCAAGTGGAAAGCCAATTTTTTAAAGCTTGGCTACAGGTTATTTAATGCTCAAACTACAGGATACGTACACACAGGAAATAAAAAATGGAAAAGATCTATAAAGATATTTCTAAATAATTATGCAGATGAGGAAACAGGCTCAGAGAGGGACAGCAATTTGCCCAGAGTCACACAGCTCGTAGGTATGACTGGCATAGGCACCCTGACTCCTCTATAGCAGAGATGGAATATATTCCACCCACTTTAGGCAGCTTGGCAGTGCAGTGGATAGAGTGCTGGCCTTGGAATCCCGCTGTGGATAGAGTGCTAAACCTGGGTATTTTACCCACGCTTTGAAGGGATCAGGTGGACTTTCCCAAATGATATTCTATAGCACATCACATCTTGACAGTTCCCCAAGTGACTGAAAGCTGCAGACAATATGAGATCCCTCCATAATCCTCTGAAGAATTTAAGTTTAGAGACATCCAAAGGATGAGGAGTGGGTTTGTGGTGGGCAGGAGGAGGCTGCAACATGTTACTGGTGAAGACTCAGCAAAGAGCCGTCATCAGAGAGATGTGGTCCAGGAAAGAAGGAGGATCACCACATGAAGTAACAAGAAGGGAGATAACTGAAGGACATTTCACACGCTCCACTGAAATTCAGGAGGGATAAGCGCGCTGACCGGCAGAGGTGCACACGGCTGCTGTCACTCTCCCGGGCGATGGCTCTTGGGCCATGGGCTTTGGAGGAGCTTGGGAGAGAGAAAATGGTGAACTTCCTCACCTGGTATCAGGCAATGGTTACCTTCCCCGGGGGAGCCTGACAGACTAGAATTGAAGTGACAGAGAAATAGGAAGAAGCCTGACTTGGCTTGGGTCCCACAAAGACACTCAGACAGATAGACAAATGGGCAGATGGATGGATGGACAGAGACAGACAGGCAGACAGATAGATGAACGGACAGACAGACAGAGATGGATGGACAGAGACAGACAGGCAGACAGATGAATGGACAGACAGACAGAGAGATGGGTGGACAGAGACAGACAGGCAGACCTGAAGAAGTGCCACCCTAGTACTACACCCTAGGAAATAATAACAGCAATAATTATTGTTCTAGTATGTATAATAATAATATGTGTAATAAAATAGGTGTAGATGAACATGTATAATATAGAAACAAAATATAATACAAAAATAATATCTAGGAAGATAAAACAGGTATAATAAAATAATGCATAATCTATAATAAAATACGCATTAAAAGTAATTATTGTTATATGTAACGATAACAATGTAATTCTTGTTAGCATTTAAATAGCATTTTTAAAGTCCCACAAAGCACTTTATAAATACACTCATTTGAGCCTCACAGCAATTCTGTGGTACTGTTATTGTCTCCATTTTTTTTTTTTACAGATGATGAAATTGAGGCAGACAGAGGGTAGGTGATTTGCCCAGCGTCACACTACTAATGGATATCCAAGGCTGGATTTGAGTCAAATCTCCCTGAATCCACATCCAGCACTCTAACCATTGAGCAACCTTGCTGCCTGGGCAGAGACTGCCAGGTTCCTCTGAGATTCTCATGTTGGAGCAACAGTAAGTCCGGCAGTGGACAGTGTGGACACTGAAGTACTTGGACAGTTTTGGTCATGACTGGCATAGGTTTTCCTGCTGGGAAAGACTGGAGCATTTGAATTTGGAGGCTGTCAGCTTCCGGGCTGCCAGGGAGTTAACCCCTTTTGAGTCATCTCCAGTATTTGGATTCAAACATCTATGTGCAAGAATGTCTGTGTTTACCCTTAGCACAAATGCAGCAGGAGAAGATATTTCCCTAAATAGGCCAGAGGCTGTTGACTTACAGATCTGATTAGATCTAGGGTTCCTAAACTGGGATCAGCAGACCCTTAAGAAGTCCATGGATAGATTTTAGGCAGTCCTTGAATTTGGACAGGAAAACATTCACATCTTTATTTTCACTGACCTTTAGCTGGAATTGAGCATTTCCTTCAATTAGGATTTTAAAAAAAATTCTAAGGGGTCCATGGGCTCCACCAGAATGCCAGTGGGGTCCACGCACAAAAAAAAAAGATTATAAACTTCTGGATTGGATAATCTACCCCAACCCTAGACAGAGAGCAGTGACATCACTCTCAGAGGAGCAGAGGCCAGGGCTAAGGGGAGCCATTTCCTTGAGAGCCAGAGAAAGACTCAAGGAGCTTAGCTCCTGTGGGTGTTGGGTAAAGTCCATGAAAGGGGAATTTCAACACATGCTTTGATCCTTCCACCTACTCTGTTTAGATCTAGTATCTATTGATTTCTTTAAATATCTTCCCATTCAAATGTAAATTATTTGAAGTCTGGGACTTTGTATCATATCAACACAGCGGGTGGTACGTATTAAGCTCTTAATAAAATCTTGTTAATGAACTTGTCTGCCAAAGAAGACCTGACACTGGTCGCAACTCCCTGCCCACACTGGGGGAGCTGGAGCCAGTCCAACTGGCTGGAGAGAGCTGATTGTTAAATTTTCAGGAGTGTGCATTTGGATCTCAGAAACTGGCAAACTGCAAATCCGAGCTCGATTCATTATTTTGTTGATTGTCTAGACTTAAGAAAATGTTAATGCAGATTCAACCTTAAAGTGTGTCACTCAAGAGCTGGTTGTTAAATATACTCCTTGAGCAGGATAGCCCTGTACCCACACAATGTCAAAATGAGAGGGGCCAACCCCTCCCCATTATGTTGGGTGGACTCCCTGTGGAAGACTTTTGGGAGGACATGGAGAAAGAACGAAGTCTTGGTGTCATCGAGATTTTGGGCTGCTTTCTTGATCAGAGTGTTTACAAAAGAGCCTGTCCCTTCTACAGTGTGCTGCGCAAAATTTCCAGAATCCCTTTGGAGCCACCAGTAAATGAAATAGCCATCAGGGCCAGGCCGAACATTAGCTTTATCAGTAGACAGGGAAGCAGAAACACAAGCCATTAAGACGGATTATCATCTTCTTGGAGGAGAGAACATTGGTCCTTACCCCTCCGCTCTCAGTAGATGGGCTGCATAGATGGAAAATCACGCTCCTTTCCCTCGGCTCTTCTGGGCTGCCAGGATGATCCAGTTGCCAAGTTACAGCTCGAGCCTTTGATTTGGGTCATTTACTACACTGTAAATAAGATTCCTCCTTTTCTCTTGCTCACAGATGTGGTGGCCTTTCGGTCCTGTTTTCTCATTGTTCCAAGGCACTCGATTCTCTGCAGGACCAACTGAGGAAATGGGGAGCGGTCCTTTACGTTACCGGGGCCTCTCCAACCACAGTCCTGTCACTGGAGAGGGGAGAGTAGATGGAGATGTCTTCTTGCACGGCTCTGAGGGCTGAGGGTCTTCCTCCTGACATCATTAAGCACCTGCTGAATGCCTGCTCCATGAGGGTGCTGGGCTAGGGCTGGGCAGGGGCTTGTAACCAGGGCTCTGCTGGAACTTGCTCGATTGTTAAATTTTTGGTGTGAACTTTCCATCTCAGAGCTCAGCAAATGCTGCAGATCAGGGTTTGATTTACTGTTCGGTTGTTTGTCTAAGTTTAAGAAAGTAAAGGAGAAAATGTTAATGCAGATTAATGCAGACAACTTAAAAGCATGTCTTGCATACATTTTTTTCCCCTGGAGAAATAGTTGTTCTGCCTTTACCAGCACTGCCCTGGTTACATACCACATTTGGGGTCTGCCATCCTGCCCTAGCCAGCTCAGCAACGTTCAGCGAGGCTCTGCACAAAGTTGACTTCAAGGTGAATGAGTTTGTAACAGCTTAACAAAGACTGTCTACCGGGTGGGGGTGAGTGGGGGCTGTCGGGGCTGGGGGAGTGGGGGGAGTTAGGCCCCATAATGATAGAATCAGGGCTCACTATAGGATGGAAGTTGGTTGGGGGGTCAGATGCTTAGGGACTCTGGCACCACAGACTGAGGACCCATTGGAAGAGGAGAAAATTCTAGAAATAGTACCCACCTCCTTCCCTAGCAGGTGGAACCAGCCTGGAAGGGTAAAGAATTACAGGGAAGGTCAAATCATATCACATTTCTACTCAAGAAGCTGCAGAAGGACCGTATGGAAAACACGAGATGCGCAGATTTCGAGCCATTTCCATTCCAAATGTTCACGTGGCTTATTTGTGTCCAGCCTGTGGCAGAGCCTTCCCAGATCGGTCACAGTCCGACACACTGCACCTTGACCCCAACGTAGCCGTGTCATTTTGGTCCTCTTCAAGAATGAAACACAACAGCTAACCAACCAATTTATCATTGACTCTAGGATAAAAAACACAATTACCTTTGTATTCTGGACAATTGCTTCCAGGCCACCATCTTTGTCCCAGAGCCCTTGGGGCATGCCCCAACTTCTTGCCACCATCTTCAACCCAGGGCCTTCTCAGAACCCTGTAATAGCTCTGGACCTTGGACCCTCCTCTCTGACTTCTGGCCTTATCCCAGGGCCTTTTCTAGAACAGTCGAGACCATCTCCTAGACCAGTGACCCACACAGATGTTACAAGCTTGATCTCACCAACACCCACAAGTGTCCCAACTTCCACGTTCACCTGAAATTCCTTTGTGGGACCGCGATATTTTATAATTCCATATTTTTGTTTACCTGTTCTTCATATTCAACTTAATCTCATATTCTTCTGCCCTTCAATTTTCTCTTAGGCCAACACTCTTATACTGGCTACTCTCTCTCTGTCTCTCTCTGTCTCTCTGTCTCTCTCTCTCTCTCTCTCTCCCTCTCTCTCTGTCTTTCTATCTGACTGTCTGTGCCCCCACCTCCTTGGTGCATCATTTCAACTCTACAATATCTTCTACTCTTGAATCTCAAACTCACTTGTCCTATGTTTGATCACACCTTGCCAAACCAACAACCTTGGATCAGTCCCACCATCTAGCCCCTGCACTCTTATTCTGCCGCCAAACAGAGCTGGAGAAAAAAAAAAAACATCTAATGATTGACTACAGATGCATATCACATAGCATCAGCTGGCCCTCCCTGCAGCAAGGCAATCCTTCTGTTCTTGTTCAGTCATTTCAGCCTTGTCCAATTCTATGACTCCTTTTAGGGTTTTCTTGGCAAAGATACTGGAGTGGTTTCTCATTTCCTTCTCCCATTCATTCTACAGATAAGGAACAGAGTTAAGTGTCTGAGCTAGGAAGTGTCTGAGGCCAGATTTGAACTCAAGATGAGTCTTCCTGACTCCAGGCTGGTGCTCTATCCACCGTGCCACCTAGCTGCTCTCAAATCCTTTTGTACCTCCCCAAATAATGCAATTCCACTGACCACAGTGGTTATTCAAAACATTGTTATCCCTTCTCAAGCCCCCTTTCCCCACCCTCTTCTACATCACTGAGACTTGAGGCCATTCGCCCAGAGCTCCATCTTTTTCCCCTTCACAGCTTGTCCCCTTCCTACGTTTGCAGTCTCTTTATACTTCATTCCGCTCCATGGACTCGGCAGTCCAGCTCTCTGGACTACTCCCTGTCCCTCATACATGATACTCCTCATACGTGTGACACAAGCGACCCTGTATGTTGGCACCGGCTGCCCTCCATGGCCAGAGTGCTCACTTTCCTTCCTCCATCCTGGCTTCCTTGCTTTCCTTCAAGACTTAGTTTAAATGCCCCCTTCTGCCGGAAGCCCTCCCTGGCCCTCTCCACTGCCAGCCCCTTCCCTGGAAGATTGCCTTCCCTGAATACATTCTTATTTGCATGCTATCTCCCTAATAGAATGTGAGCTCCCTGAGGGCAAGGACTATGCTTTTGGCCTTCTGTGTAACTTCTGTGTCTGCAGTAAACATTGCAAACACACGCATATATATTACTATGTATGTATTACTATGTATTTGCATGTGTGCACATACATGTGTGTTTATATAGACATGTTGCAAACACACGTGTATTACATGTGTTTATATAAGCATATATGTGTGCATTTATATAGATGTGTTGCAAATACACATGTACTTATGTATAGTATGTGCACATATGTGTTTATATAGATACATGGCAAATACACATGTATTTATATATGTACACATGTGCACTCACATATGCATGTCGCATTGTGTTTATATATGCAACGCATGCACATGTATGCACATGTAACTGCATGTTTGATGCACACGTGTATATCTTGTTATATATAATCATATGTGTTTATATATGCATGTTTCAAATATGTATATTTGTATTAAGATATGTGTACACATAAGCACATGAATAGTTATGCATGTATGTTGCAAATGTGTATTTATAGGTATCACATATGTATGCATATAATGTCTATAAGCAATATAGGTGTATAATGTATGTATAGAATATATGTACATGTGTGTATTTACACATGTGGGTTGCAAAGAGATATGTATCACCTATATATGTGATATACATAAGCATATAAGCACATATGTATATTGCAAAACGTGTTTGCATGTATTGTACATGTATATGTACATATATATGCATATATTACAGGTATATTATCAAATAGGTTTATGTTTAGTCACATGGATGTATACAAAATATGTTTATGTGTTTATAGTAAACATATATGTTTATATATGTATACTGCCTAGATGTGCGTTTATATAGTTACATATATGTACGTGTTATGCATTATACACATACATATATAAGCCTGTATGTATATGTACGTGTTCATATATCTATGCTAACTGGCTTTATTTGGCATATGAAGTCCTTTACAAGCTGACTCTCGTTTATCTTGCCAGGCTGATAGACTTTCCGCCCACCACCCTCCGGCACTCTCTGCTTCAGCCAAACTCATTCTATTTCCCTTGGAGGCTTTGCGCCGGCTGACGCCACTCTCTCCTTCCTCCCCTCAGCCTCTTAGAATATACTCAGGGCTCTGCTCAAGAGTCAGCCCCAATGTCAGGTTTTTGCCTGATCTCTAGTTAGAGTTTTCCTGGACCCCAATTAATTTGTGTTTACTTCGTATGAACTTTGCATTTACTTAGCTGTGTATGCAGGATGGGCTGTTAAATGTTTAACAACTGGCTCTTTGAAAAAATGTCTGCAAGATACACTTTTTTTTGGAGCCAATCAGAGTTAAATGACTTGCCCCGGGGTCACGTATTTAGTATCTAGTGTCTGAGGTTGGATTTGAACTCGGGTCCTCCTGACTCAAGTGCTACCCAGCTACCCAACACACTTTAAAGTTTAATCTACTTTATTAGTATTTTCTTAAGTCTAGAAAATACTCCCCCCCCCCGCCCCAATAAACCAAGGTGTAGATGCTGACACTGAAATTTAACAGTTGACACTGTCTGGTAGGAGCTGGTTAGGATATACTTTCTAGTGCATGCATTATGCCACCAAATAGAATGTCAACTCCTCGAGGGTAGAAACTATTTCGTTTCTGTCTTTGTTTCCCTGTTGCTAGGCAATAGGGACATCTGGCAGGCGCTTAATTACCTAGGTAACTAGGTAACTAGGTAGTGCCAAGTTTGGAGTCAGGAAGACCTCCTTCCAAATCCCATCCCAGCGACTTGCTAGCTGTATAACACTGGGCAAATCAATTAACTTTTGTCTGCCTCAGTTTCCTCATCTATAAAATGGGGATAATAATAGCACCTGCCTCTCAGGCTTGTGGTGATAATT